CATGTCTCTTCTACATCACATGTGTCCCCTCTTCTTCATGTCTCCTCTACATCAACATGTGTCCCCTCTTCTTCATGTCTCTTCTACATCAACATGTGTCCCTCTTCTTCATGTCTCTTCTACATCAACATGTGTCCCCTCTTCTTCATGTCTCTTCTACATCAACATGTGTCCCCTCTTCTTCATGTCTCTTCTACATCAACATGTGTCCCCTCTTCTTCATGTCTCTTCTACATCAACATGTGTCCCCTCTTCTTCATGTCTCTTCTACATCAACATGTGTCCCCTCTTCTTCATGTCTCTTCTACATCAACATGTGTCCCCTCTTCTTCATGTCTCTTCTACATCAACATGTGTCCCCTCTTCTTCATGTCTCTTCTACATCAACATGTGTCCCCTCTTCTTCATGTCTCTTCTCTTACATCAACATGTGTCCCCTCTTCTTCATGTCTCTTCTACATCAACATGTGTCCCCCTCTTCTTCATGTCTCTTCTACATCAACATGTGTCCCCTCTTCTTCATGTCTCTTCTACATCAACATGTGTCCCCTCTTCTTCATGTCTCTTCTACATCAACATGTGTCCCCTCTTCTTCATGTCTCTTCTACATCAACATGTATCCCCTCTTCTTCATGTCTCTTCTACATCAACATGTGTCCCCTCTTCTTCATGTCTCTTCTACATCAACATGTGTCCCCTCTGTGGAAAGAGACTCTGAAAGTTTCAGGAACAAAGATTCTCTCTCTTTTTGATCCATTTCTATAAAACCTGTCTGAAAATGAGCTGATCAGATTTTGGCCACTTTATGATGTCATAACGATGTTTTGTCTTGTGTAACCATTAGCCAATCAGCAACCAAGGTAACCCCCCCCCCCCCTTATCACCTGAATCTCCTCCTAGAGCACCAATGAGTTCTTTGTAACCAAATCTCTCTCAGAGGGGCGTGGGGAGGGGCTCCTTATTTTCATCTAAAGTAACAGACAGAGAATCAGCACTTTTGAAACAGGGCTGAAACAGAGGGGATTATGGGTAATGCTGCAATGATCTGTTTGGTGTTTCAGCCAATCAGAGACAGGTTCTGGATATATCTGAGACCTATAATAGATTGATTAAAAACAGTATGATAGGAGACCTTTCATTATTTGCTTTCTCATCTCTCGCCTTACTTTTTTGGAATACCTGATTTAAATGCAGTTTATAAAGTGCAACAACAAACCCATCTCCTCTAGCAGACAGAAATCCCACCTGGTTTGGCCAATAAAAAAAACTTCACCATGTCACATTCGTGCTTCTATTAACACAGATTATGAAGATAGGCTAAGGGGCGGGACATCTCCAAGCAGTTGACCAATCACAGAAGAGCTCACCAATCGGAGCAGACTGGGCTCTGGTTTCAGACAGAGGGTGAAAAGAGGTGCTGCAGCCCAGGCAGTATGAGAGAAAATAAAGAGCTTTTTAAACATGGAGACATGTCACAGGAGAGGAACTAAATACAAATATGAACCTAAATATTAGCATAATATGACCTCTTTAAATGCATTTCTGTGACCGTTCCAGTCCTGGAGTCACTGTGAGCTCTGCAGGTCTCCAGCTGTTTCTTCCAGCTGTGCTAACGTTAGTCTGTCTTTGTGGCACAGAGCTTCAGATAGAGACACCTGTGGAGACACAGCACACAGCGCCGGGAGGGAAAACATTTCCATGCCATGTTGGTTTTCAGGGTGTTAAATATTGTTTACTCAAACCGTGTATATATATAGTAGTGTTGAGCTCTTTGACAGACTGCACCCAAGTTGTTGTTGAAAATCTTTATTTTTCTTACAGTGAAATGTTTTTCACCACTGGATTGTTTTGCTATTAGTCGGTTTCCCCTCACGGACACGGGAGCGATTCTGGGGACAGAGAGCAACATGTGTTTACTCCTTTTGAATACATCTGTTGTGATGGAACCACAGACACAATGCATATGTATAAAGGTAAAGTGATGACATTCCAGGAGATACAATTGAGGCGTGCACGCACACACACACACGCACACACTCACACGCACGCACACACTCACATGCACGCACACACACACACTCACACGCACACACACACGCACACGCACACACACACACATTCACACGCACGCACACACACACATGCACACACGCACACACTCACATGCACGCACACACTCGCACACACACTCACACACACGCACACACACACACTCACACACACACACACACACACACACACTCACACACACACACTCACACACACACACACACACACACACACACACACACACACCCCACACACACACACAGCTGGATCAGAAAGACAGAAGTGTGAGACTTAATGTCTGTAGGGAACAATGGAGGTGTCAAAAACCAAGAAGCACATTATTATCACCTCTTCTACCGCTGCGTAGGATCTGAAAGACACACACACACACACACACACACACACACACACACACTGTAATAAGACAGTGTTCACAGCCTGCTCAGAAACACTTGTGAGGATGTGTGAAACGTGGCGGAACGGCAGGGAATAGGCTCAGTGATTTAAACGCTCCCCGGAAAGAGGGGGGAAGAATCAAATAAATAAATGGGTCACTTCAGTCGGCGCCGATAACCAATTTCTCGTTCCCTCTCTGGAAAGCCTCTCAGTTTCAGTGGGATTGTCAGAGCGGGGTGATTCTGTAAGGCGGGGCTAAGAGAGGAGAAGTGGAGCCCAACACAATTCAGAGAAGGGTTACTTTAAAAATATATTAGTTATCTTTAAAACACTGTAATCAGCAGCCTGATGTCTGCTCGGAGATTTCATTGATTTAAAACCTGCCTTTTATTCCGGCTTTACACCAACACCGACACACATGAGCACACACTACAGTTTAATAAAGCAGAGATTAAATCTGAGCTGACAGAAAATGCTCCGTTTTAGTTGAACACACAGTTAAGCTCTCACACACTATGTCATGAACGTATAGCTGAATTAAAAACAGAACAAAGGAAGCAAAGAAAGTGAAAACCATAAAGCAGATCCAGGCAGTAGACGTAGAGATTCACACGTAAAGTATTATCCTACTGAACAGCTGACAGAGAAGAGACAACATCTGATCCTTTACAACAAACACTATATGATGTTTTTAGGTCTTTACTAACACTGTAATCCTGCTAGTCATCCCCCATGTTCAGAAATCTACCAGTAATATGATCTTTTTTAATGTAACTTTAAGGGAGTACAGCTGCCTTTTTTGTATCCCGATCATGTCATCAGAATCAGAATCCCTGTATTAGTGCCACAGAGGGGAAATGTACAGAAAAGAGCCAAAGACAGCTTAATGTTACCTAAGCAACATGCATACAAATGTATATATATAATACAAAAAGTTACACAATTTACAAAAAACACATCCTGTAACACTTCTGAGGATTTAGCAGCCAGGTTATATTGCACAGTTATTAACGGCATATATATATATATTGCACATGTTGCACATAGTCGGTATTTAACAACAAGTACATGTAATCCGTTGCCCTGCCAGAGTCTTTGAATATCTTCATATCATCACATCTAGTCAAAGTTGGATCAGTTTTTGCAGCAGGAACATGCATGGGAAAAAGGGAGGGTCCCTGTCAGTCATGCAGCACTCCTGGGAGGGAGGGGTGCATGAAGGGGGGGGGGGGGGTGTGACAGTGACAGTGACAGCCACTTGTCAAAGCTTTGGGTGATGCAGCCTCAACCTCCCCATCCCCCGAGAGGATCATGTGACCTGAGCTCTGAATGACAGTAGCTTTTTCTCATGGTGTGCTGGAAGATGTGGAAGTGATGAATGCAGGGTTTAGTGGCGCTGCTGTGTTTGAAGACAGACTGGGAATCTTTTTTGTGAATTGATTATTCATCCTTCCTGTTTCCCAGTCTTTGATCTGATTCACAGTTCAGTCGGTTTAGTTTCTTTGTGAACAAGCTGGCCTACATTACATTCATATCTGCTGATTCGTGTGTGGAAATGGGGTCGTTCATGCAACTGCTTTTATTATTTTCTTTGTCGTCCGTTTTTTTAAGTCTACTTTATGATACACAGCTTGACCTTGTTGTCAGTTGAACGATTGTAATTTACATTTTTGATGAGACAGCTATGTGTGAGTGTGTGAGTGTATTGTATTTTAATTATGCCTTATTTAATAGGAACAAGACAAACACATCACTTGCACCACATTCATTTATATTAATTATTGTATGAAGTGTTGGCAGTGACAGCAACGTATTTATTGACATATTTAATTTTTTTTCCGAATACTTTATTTATTTTTAATTTTTAAATGGATTCTCATTTATTATTTATTTAGATTTTATAATATTTGATAAAAAATTCTATTGTGTATTTTTCCACTGAAAGATGTGTTTTATTTTATTAAATATATTTTTTTATTATTTAAGCTTCATTTCATATCGGTACTCATTTGGCAAGGATACATTTGAAAAGTTATTTTTCTTTTATTGTTTATTTAGAAGATGCAATTGCTCTTAATATACTTTAAAATGTGTTCTACTCTGTTGTCTGCTGTGTGAGAGCCACCAGCATTAGTTTCCTGTATTTCTTGTAACGGTTGATAAAGCATCATAATTACATTCATAATAAGGACAAACTGTGGTTAGTGTTCTCTAAGTATAAAAGTAAACAATGACTTGCAGGCTGTTTTAAAGAAACCTGTGGTTTAACACACAGGCTCTTGGCATGGTGCGTGTCATCTGGTGCTCTCTCCTGACAGAGAAACACTAATAATGTAATTGAATCAACATCTAATTCAATCTGGGAAAAGAGGACACGGTTTGCTTTACAGTATCAGAATACATCTGCTATTCAAGCCTCGAGTCTCTGTGTGTCTCCGTGTCTCGCAGAGTGAAAGGCAGCAGCACTTATTTGTATCTCTACACCGAGGAAGTTTGTTGTTGTGTTCAGAAAAAGCAGCGTATTGATTGAAATGCTATTTCTTCTTTTCTTGTAGCTCAAGGCCACATCTGTCTGGCTCTGAGGAAGCTCCAGACGGATCGCAGCGCTGAGAGGAGACGGAGGAGAGGATGATCTGGGATCTGATCCAATGACCTGCGGCAGGAGCGCAGCAGCGTACAGGCTACATTAAAATGGGGTAAGTTTAGAAGCTCAGCTGCAGGAACTGCTGGAGGATCCACTTCCAAACCTGATCTCTGCAACAGGATGCTCTGAGATAACCTCTGCCCCGTCGGAGAGGAGAGACACTGACTCACAGATAACATCACACTCATGTGTACATGCACAAAAAGAATGACACAGTTACAGTAGGGCATCACGGCACGGTGATCTGCTACGACCTAAAGAAATTCTACCAAAAACATGAGCACTCTTTGAAGGTTTCTTATCATAAAACCTGATTTCAAATGATCTCTGAGCAAATAGATCCCTAGTTCATTCAGATAAATACAATTCTGAATTGCTTTATAAGAAAGAAAGAAGCTACTTAAATGCCAATTTGGTTGTCTTCAGGGGGTCCGCGGGGTCTTAAAACCTAAGTTGATAAATCAATTTAGGCTGTTAAAAAGTATTAAACAGCATTTTCAAGGTATTACATTCTGTAGCTTGTTTTCAATAAGTATATAAATGGTCCAAAGAGGTTGTATTCTACAGTCTGCCTGAATGTAATCATTGCGTAGGTGTGTAGTGTGATTCTGTGTAGTTTATTGATGGCATCCCGTTGGGTTTGACGTCATCTGAACAGGACATCGCACGCTCACTGCTTGATAGCGCGAAGGTCCGTTTACGCCGGTTGCTAAGCAACATCGTTATGGGGAAATGCAAGTCTGCGTCCAAATGGTTGGAAGATAAGGAGGAAGGACAATCAATACTGTATATAGTAGGGGTGTAACGGTACACGTACCCGTACCGAAATTATTCGTTACGGGCCCTTCGGTTCGGTACACGTGTGTACCGAAGTGTACCGAACGACTATAACGTTAAACGCAAAAAATTGAGAACGTGAACAACTTCTTGGAGGTAATCTCAGGTGCTGCGTCGCAGCATTCAGAGTAATTTGCTCACATTGGGTTCAACGCGTCATAGCTGCAAGTCATTTCATTGGACGAGAGGCATACTATGAGAGCTGGTCAGAGGGATGAGTTCAAATGTAGTCAGTAATTTGAGGAACTGTCGAAATGGCGAACGCAGATAAAGTTGAGCTGAAAATCCTCCAGCATCATTGAAGTCTCCGGTTTGGGAACATTTTGGTTTCGCAGTTACGTACAAGGATGACGGACAAAGACAGGTGGACCGAACCAAAGCTGTTTGTCGGCATTGTTCAACTAACATTGGTTACGCGGCTGGCAATACATCAAACTTGCACACTCTTGAAAAGGCATCACCGAATGTGAATATCACCGGTACCAAAAGACTGAAGTGCAAACCCAACTCCCGCTAGCATTCAAGCCTCCACCACTCGCAACAAGTTCAGACCGAGCCAAAGCTATTACAAATGCCAAATATCCTTATGTTGCCATGTTAGCAAAGCGCTACCTGGCTGTATCTGCTACCTCTGTCCCTAGAGAGAGGGTTTTCTCCACAGCAGGAGACATTGTTAGTGCCAGCAGATCTGCCCTTTCGGCAAGCAATGTGGACAAGTTAATTTTTCTTTAAAAAAACATGAAAATACAATGACAAGCAAGTCCTAATGTCAAGCTGGCTGCTTAGGTTCTAGTACAGTACAGTTCAAATACAGATTATTTCAGTTCATCGAAAAGCTGCACCTTAATGTTTATTTTATTATATTTTGTATTTATTTGAGTGAATACATTATTCACAGTTTAATAATAATTTGAAAAAAATACGTTATGTTTTGTGATAATTTTTTCTGCTGTACCGAAAACGTACCTCACCGAACCGTGACCTAAAAACCGAGGTACGTACCGAACCGAAATGTTTGTGAACCGTTACACCCCTAGTATATAGTCAATGTGAGGTCAAGTGTGTCGCCAAGGTAACCGGTTAGAACTCAAAGTGGCGATGAGGTCTTAGAATGTATGGAAAGGGTCTTAAAAAGGGTCTTAAGAGGTCTTACATCTGACTTCAGGACTCCTGCATATACCCTCGTCTTACTCACCACAGACTGTAAAGTGGACAAACCCTTACACTCATACACTGAGCCGTTCAACGTTTTGTGACTTTAGCATTTGTGCTGCATACTCTTCCAACTTGTGACATTTAATTTATTCATCTATTGAGTTGGAATTAATTTAACATTAGTTGCTTTTGACTTTTGTGTCTGCCAAATCTAAGAGGCCTTGGAGTAAGTTATTGTGATGTCTACATGAGATCTCCATTATTAGTTTATCGTCTGTCAAAAATAAAATGAAAGAAGTCATGGTATCATATGTCATGAACATTTTTTTTTTAACGTTTGTCTAAAATAAAATATAAAACGTAGTATAGCATTGTGGAAAAATATGAAAAAACTAATTATTTTTCACATAGTTGTTTCATTTAAAGACTTTCTAGAAGTGTAAAACAGTTGTGCTTATTCTTGACCAAATCCTACAATTGACTTTCCTGTTTAAAGTTGTAAAATGAAAACATGGAGAGCACTTAAGCTACCTGTCAATCACAAGGTCAGCCACTTCCTAAAGAGTAACCTAGTTTTACTCTAAAAGATTTACAAAATGAACATCATGGTGTTGAAGTATGAAAGCATCACTTGAGACCACAGGAAAATGGTAACTGGTAACAAATCAAGTGAAAAGTAGGGTCATTTTCTCACCCTTCTAAACAAATGCACTGGGTGATGTAACCCTCTGCTGGAAATGTAAAAGAATGCATGTTTATGGCCCACATGCATCGGCTTCTCTCTTCAGACACAGAGGATGCCGCTTGGTGGGAGGAGGATGGAGGTTAGTAAGAGTAGTTAATAATGGAGACGCTCTGACAGTGAATCCGATCACATAAATGATTCATTCCCTCATTTTCGATGCTGTCCTCTTCACACACACGGCCATCGTATCTGAAGGAACCAGCCACCGTGCATGCTGGGACACGGTGGCTGATTTAGTGTCCTGCTGGCAGGGATGAGTTATTCCTCAGTTAGCTTCAGTGACAGTGGGAGCAGAGAGAGCTGGACCTCCAGGGAGACTTTCACACTGGCAGTAATTCAACCAGAGAGAGAGGCCCAGGCATGCTGAGCGCACGCTGCCTGCTATTCACACACACGCTCCGCTAATTAAAGCCACACACCACATATCCAATCCAACTTTATTTATATAGCACATTTAAAAACAACATAATTGACCAAAGTGCTACATCAATACACATATAAAATATACATTTAGACAAAACCGAAGAAACTAATGTAAAAGCACGAGACAATAAAACCATACTTTAGCCACAGACTGAAAACCCTCATACTGTACAGGATGAAAACACAGTTCAAAACACAACTAAATAGAAAACACCAATTTAGAAAACACAGACTGATACGTCTTATACGGTCTGCAAAAGCATGGGAGAACAAGAAGGTCTTTAAACGAGATTTAAAAACTGGCAAAGTGGGAGTGAGTGTGTGTGTGTGTGTGTGTGTGGTGTGTGTGTGTGTGTGTGTGTTTGTGTGTGTGTGTGTGTGTGTGTGTGTGTGTGTGTGTGTGTGTGTGTGTGTGTGTGTGTGGTGTGTGTGTGTGTGTGTGTGTGTGTGTGTGTGTGTGTGTGTGTGTGTGTGTGTGTGTGTGTGTGTGTGTGTGTGTGTGTGTGTGTGTGTGTGTGTGTGTGTGTGTGTGTGTGTGTGTGTGTGTGTGTGTGTGTGTGTGTGTGTGTGTTAGTACACCATAGACTGTATAAATGAATGAATTAGATAATGAGCAGTTTGGCACCTTGTATGTAACCACCACTGACTTCGCCCCAAGCTCCAGTGAACACGCCCGCCACCAATAATGAGAGAGAATGACCACATAATAAATAAAACACACAGCCCTTACATGTGGCTCCTGCAGCGCCTAATAAATCAATTTTCCTTTCAATTAATTGGTCGAAAAACCAGTATCTACGTATCTTCCCCACCCTGAACTCGTTGACGTTTGTGTCTGAGAACCATTCACTTATAAAACAGCAGACAAAGAGATTTTAGAGATACCGCCTGTGCTAGTTTTTATGACGGTAAGCCTCCTGTCACTTACATCCGAGCATGTGAGGAATAGAGATTCATCCATTACTGCAAAGCTGCAGCCGCGGCCTGTTCGTGCCTCGGCACCAGGGAGTGTTGGAGTCTGAAGATGATTTGGGTTTTATTATTCTCCCAATGCATCAGGGATGAGCCCTCTGAATCCCTGTTTCATAATCGCAGTCATAATCACAGCCGTGGCCCTGCGCTGCCGACTGTGATGCAGACAGAGTAAGAGATACGGATGACGGGCGTTTTGGTCGACATGCTATTTGTACTCATTACACAGAGAGTGAAGCGTCCTGCTCTCCGGCTCCTGGTTAATCTGCAGCGTCTGATTAGTCAGAGCCCAGCAGGCATTTTCATTTCTGTCTCCTCAGCTCTCCCTTAGCGTCTCATTTCCTCCCCTCCTTCACATTCACCAACTTACTTTCTCCTTTTTTCCTTTTGCTCCTGTCTGTCTCTCTGTATCTGTCTCTCCATCTCGAGTTTTAATAGCCTGACAAGCAGGGCACTAATCCCTTTTATTACTGTACTTGCTGCGCAGAAAGAAAGCCTGAGGGGGGGCAGACAGGGAGCCATTTATATCAAATGAATGTGATTATTCTGCTGAAGCAACCACGCTTCAGAGGCAGTGTCTCCGTGTCCAGAGCTGTGCTTATCCAATGGAGGATGACCTCTGACAAATCTCTGTCACATGATTAATATCTATGCATAACATCTGAACTGTAGATTATAAAATAAGTTTAAGAGTTGAGCTGCGTTATCAGGCCAAGTTTTCAAAGTTTTGTTTTGGGTTGTTTTCCTTACCTGTAGAGTTATATCGGTTTTTGTGTATGTCAATGGTCTGCAAAGGCTAAAATCCCGGTGTTTCCTCCGGAGGGATTTTCAAATCAAGTTGTATTTTGCTAAAAATTCAATTGAATTAGTTTCTACTAAAAAGTCTCAGGTAAAAGTGTACAGCATTACAGGAGCTAAAGGACAGTGCGAGAAAAGGCAAAAGTACAAAAGTTCACTTAGATAATAAAAATAGAGGCACAAAAAAGATAAATAAGAACACATTCATTGTATTACAAAATGTGCTGCATTTTCAAAAAGTATACGTAAGCGTGTAAAACGTATCGAAGGAGTCAGAAACATTAACACATTGTAAATACATTCCCTGCAAGGTAAACAATAGCAAGTCTGGTAGTTCTGTCCATAAACTGACAGATCAACTTTATTACACAACAAAAGTCAACTGAAGTGATGTGGCCAGGGAACAGACAGTCTGGGGCTCTCTGCTGGAACTGCTACCCCCGCGACCCGACCACAGATAAGGAGAAGATGGATGAAGTGTGAATTGATTTGAGGTTACTTGGCTAAAACTTGCTGTATAAGTCTATCAGTCTTTGAATGTAATATCCGAGGTTTTAGATACTACAGGGTTCTTACGGTCATTAAAAACCTGGAAAAGTCATGGAAATTCAAAATGCTAATTCCAGGTCCCTGGAAAAGTTTTGGAAAACAATATTTTTCCCAAAGTTTTGGAAAAGTCATGGAAATGTAACTCAAGTTGCATCAAATATAATTTATATGTTATCTAATCGCCGAAATAGTAATACTATAATGATAATAAATACTGTATCGTATAGTAATGAAACGTAAAATGGCATTTAACTGTCGAGGTATTTTGCTGGTGAGAGATTTTAGTTGCTTTTAGCTAGAAGCTAGTAAGCCTATTTGATTTGTTTTAGATAGGCACAACATGTTTCATATGCAGACCTTATTTTCCTGTTCCATGTTCAAATAAACCATTTTCAGTGGTACCGCTGAGAAAAAGTAATTTTTTTTGGTCATGGAAAATTAGGTAAAGGTCATGGAGAAGTCCTTGAAAAGTCCTTGAAAATCATTGGTGAAAAAGTGCATGAACCCTGATACTAGCAGTTCCTGAATGCAACACATGGACGTTTGTGTATTAATACCTCATGTCTCACAGTGATATCCTCTCTTCCTCTCTTCAGGCTCCAGGTCTTGCTTCCTGCTGTCAGAGAGTCTGAGGGCCGCTCGCTCAGCCCACAGCCATGCCTGACGTGAAGCCCCCCCCACCATGTGACTACCCCTCCTCCGCCTCCCCCTTCGACCTCCTCATCGACATGGAGCCCTGCATAGCCAACCTCCCCCTCTCCCCCGACCCCTTGTCCTCCTCCTTCCCCCGACACAGACCCAGCTTCCCTCACTACCCGGGCCTCCCGCCCTACCCTCTCATGGCCCGGTGCAACAGCAGCACCCTGCTCACAAACCTGGGACTGAGGTACTGCAGACAGGGCCCCATGGGGGGGGGGGGTCCAGGTCAGGGGGGGGGTCCGGGCTCCTGCAGCTACACCGCAGGCAACAGGCCTTACAGGAGCATGGAGAACCTGAACTGGAACAATGTGGCCGATTCTGGGCTGTGTGCATTCAGCGCCGCGCCCTACAGGAGCATGGACAGTGAGTTTATTCTACGCTACACCTCCACCAGCCACTGGTATGATGGGCCCCCGGATGGTTCTGTACTGGGGGCCCATGGGCTGGGACCAAACCAAGAGGGCCTGGCGTTTTACCCTCGACACGGGCTGCCTAGGAAGGACTTACCGCTTTTTCCTCAGCTGCTGTTTCCAGGTGGTGTCGACGAATGGGATGCGAGGAAAGGCCTGAGGGAGAAGCTCCGCCTCCAGAGTGCGAGATCATCGATGGAGCCTATGAAGCCTCTCCCGATGCGACCTCAGGAGGCTCATGTGAATTCAACGCTCTCTGGGTGCAGGCCTCCGTGCACGATGCGCATCACGAGCCCCGAGGATATCAAGCAGGAAGTCCTGAGGCGCCTACAGCTCCGCAGGCAGAACAGCAGCCCTAACCTGGCTCCCCACAGCGCCCCCTGCAGCCCAAAAGCTGTTAAGACGTCCTACACAACAGACAACATTACAGGTGGTGGATCAGACTCAGAGCGACGGAGACCTCCTGCGGGACGGCTGCACATCCCCACGTTCGAGGAGTTTAAGAGGATGAGGCAGAAAGAGACTACAGCGGGTTCTGTGGTTTCTGGAAACTCTGGATTAAAACAAGAAGCAGGAGTTTCAGAGACGAAGAGTAGTGTCTCTGAGTTGAGCTTCAGTGGAGGAAGTAGAGAGCAGGAGGTGGGGGGAGTAATGAAACCTCCCTGTAGCACTGCAGCTCCCATCTCTACCTCCAGAACTTACTCTCCCATCCGCACAGGCCCGTCTCCACGCTCCCCCCTGCAGCCGCTGGCCAGCTCCACCCAGGAGAGAGGCTCCTCTGCTGGGGGAGAGGATGGGGGCGGCAGGCGGAGGAGGAGCAGTTTGGAACCAGCCGGGTCGGTACCTTTCCCGCCCTACAGGGAACATTTTGACCGGCCCTCCAGCTGCTGCCCGGCTCTTCTGGACGGGACGGACCTGTCCAGCTACGGAGCGAAGATCTACAAGATGAAGGACGGACTGATCGGATCTGCGCTGGACCTCATCAAGAAGAGGTTAGTCTGAGAGCTTTCACTGTTAGAAGTATTCCCATTCTTTACTTTCCAAAAATACAATAATTGTGTCACCACATTTTGGAGCAGAATATTGTACTTATAGTTAGGATTTTATATGTTTTTATACCACACTCAGGTTATGACGAATATATAAAATACTATGCATTGTATAACCTAAACCTTCCAACCTACAAATGAATAGGATGTTATATTTTCTTTATCTAAAAAGAAAATTGATTGATCAAATAATCTGGTAAGTCTAGTTTCTCAAAGTCCAAGGTGATCTTGTTAAATGTCTGTTTTTAAAACCAAACCGAAAAACATATTTAAACAAAGTAAATCTCCCTATTCGATGACAACAGAACATTTACCAATATGCCTTAGAGCTGCAAAGATTGAATATTTTATGATTTGTTCACTCCTATATTCAATGTCTTTAAGTTGTGGACAAAACAAGTCATTTGAGGACCTTATTTTGGGCTTTGACAAAAAACTTTTCACAATATTCTGACACTTTATAGACCAATCTACTACTAGGCATATCGAGAAAAATAATCAACAGATTAATAGACAAAATATTGACATGAAAAACTGTATGTGAAATATCTATCACTCTCCAACTGCTTATTGGGTCGCTGAGGAAGCCGTTTCAGAAGATATGTTTTGCTCTTGAATCCTCTTTGATGGTGACATTATATCTTAACAACATCCACATGTGTGCTTAGCCTTGCCAGACAGTTGCTCCGGTGTGTTCGAGTCCATCTGTTGGATGTGTTGTTGTGTTATCGATTTAACTCAGTTATTGTGCTAACAGCTGTCCGAGCTAACCTGTGGTCGGGAGGCTGGCATGAATCATGACAGACTGGAGGTCTGGCACCGTCCCTACAGACTCCATGTTTTCCTCTCTCACACACACACACACACACACACACACACACACACACACACACACACACACACACACACACACACACACACACACACACACACACACTGTCAGCTGTTGGCTAAATAAATGCAGCCACTGTAGTTCATTCAGACCAAGGACAAACAAGAGGACGGTGTGTTTCACAGCGTCGTTGTGCCACTCGGGTCCAGGCCTCCATGCAAAATAAATATTAGACCCTTAACACAGTGGAGCTGCTTGATAAGGCCTTTTGAATAAAACACCCCCATGTGATGGATGGCAGGTAGAGACGGTATCTCGCTCTGACTGTCCCTCCTTTGTCTGCAGAAAGATGATGGATGTCTGAATCTCCACTGAATAACTGCCGTGTCTCAGTGTGTGACTTCAGTGTGTGACTTCAGTGTGACTTCAGTGTGTGACTTCAGTGTGTGACTTCAGTGTGTGACTGTGCAGAGCTGCAGGGTTTTGGCTGCAGCTCTAATAGTGAAACATGTCCAATGTAATGTCTTCAAATTGCTGTTTCTATCAACACTATAACAACAGTACGAGTCTACAGGCAGCCATGACAGAGGATCTGTGAGGCTGTACGGGCACAGTGGGGATTTGAGCTAACACCAGCATGCTAACACTTATATAATGACATGCTTACATAGTTAAATACCAAGATACATCACAATGCAATAGTCTGATGAGTATAAGGACAGCAATACAATATTTGAAGATATCGAAAATACAGCCATAATATGATTCATTTAGATTTTAGGCTATTGATATGAGACACTATGATACAAACTTAATCAGGTGTATATCAACTGATTAGAAATGTTATAACTGATCTTCCGCTTATTAAATGAAAAAATATCTACTATTTTTTACATAAAGAATAAAAACAGCCTGCTTTTCACAATAAAGAGTCACATTTCTTATGTTTTAATGCAAATGTTGTTTAATGAATCCAGGATTTCAAAATAAGAGCATATCATGAAGATGATATCAATCCGAGTATAAATACTAAACAAGCTCTATGGATAGTTACCCAACTACTAAACCCAGTAGTAGTAATACACCAGAATACATTGAATTCCATCCCTAAAAAAACTCAAATATGTTCAGAGAAAAGTAGCAAATTCTCACATTTAAAGAAGCTCGAATCAGAATGTTTTGCATCTTACTTGATTAATTACTTGAACTATTAATTGATTACAAAATGGTTGACTACTTGTCTCCCTTTCGATTGTTAAACCAATGATTTCAGCGCTCCTGCCGCCCTCTCATCGACCTCAGTGACAGCCACAGCAACTCACGCTCAACTCTGTTTATCCAGAGTGCATTCATCTTTTGTATGTTCAAAAAGCACCCACAATGCAACACACTATTCGCCTCCCCTTGTGATTTAAACGTGACTTGGGGCTCTGTGAATACTTTATATATTACTTGGAGATGTATTCATCACACATGCCTGTATTCTGTGTGATCTTTGCAGCCTGAGGTGTTTGACTTCCACCAACAAGTCTCTTTGTTTAACATAGAACCAAACCTGCACACATAGCATTACACAGCTCTGGTTATGATTAAGTCATATTCATAATTACACCTGGGAGGGTTTATAGAAAAGGAGGCAGCTCTGATTTAGTTGCATACTGCAGTGACTGTGCACCAGTTATATATAGTGTGTGTAGGCAGTGTCCATTCACTGTTTCTTTTTGTCTCTATTAGACGCATAAATATATGAAATTGAATTGATATGCATCAGTGAAAATGACAGGCGGGCTTATTTGGATGTCTCCTAGCGCCATGTTGGGCGGTGATCTATCACATCCAGTGGTTTCCAGATCAATTCAACTGCAGGTTATTACTTCCCATGCATCACGTTGAGTGTGACAGCTGATACTGTGAAGGAAAGGCCTTTTGATGACAGTCTGTCAGAGGGAAAACCCACCGGACGCTTTAGAGCTGCGTACTCAGAAATGCATTACTTACGTCTGTCTTTTTGCCACACTGGCACCGGTTTAATTAGGACATTCGGACACGTTTTAATCTCTGCTGAGTGTGCTTTGATTACATGTGCAGCAGCGGGCAGAGGCTCGATCTGCCCAAAGTGCATCAGAGGGACGTTGTCAGGGTGAGTGAAGCAGGCAGGACCCAAATGCAGAAACAACTACGAGGTTTAACCGAAAATACCTTTATTTCAAGGCTAGCAACCGACACATACACACTCAGAGCAGAACTCTCTCCCCAGTGACCACATTCAAGTTAGACAAGGATCTCACAAAGACTATATATATATCCAGTCTCTGATTGTGTTACGTTATTACGAGAGTGCTCTCATACTTGTTTGATTCTGAAATTGTATGTACATATATATATATATGTGTGTGTGTGTGTGTCCGCATCTGTAGCCTGTTATTGTCTCATTATACCGCACTGTGATGAATCAAAGTAAATATATAAGTGGTCATGAACACATGTGTCCATCAGACAGAGTGCTCTGCCTCCTGTCATCATTAATGGACGTCTCTTTAAAATGACCGCTCAGAGGAGAGGAGTTCTCATTTCTCTAACCGCCTGCTGCTTCCCCTCCTCTCTCCTCGGCTCCCCTCCTCGGCTCCTCCGCTCGCATCTCCTGTGGGCGGGACTAAGTATCGAGGATAGGAGTCGAGGAGGGGAGTCGAGGAGGGTAAATTAGAGAATTGAGAAGCCTTCAGAGACAGGAAACAACAGACAAGACGAGGCGTGAACACTTTTCAAACTAAAACAGGAAACCAAAGATAGATCTAGACAGCACAGAATCAAACACAGACAGATCGTGACAGACGTTGAGAACATATTGTTATCTCTAAAAAGTGTGGACAGCGTTTAGAAAATGATGTAAGGACCATTTCTGTAATGTTACGTCACCACAGGGATATTCAAATAATACATAACAGGCCCAAGTGCATATCATAGCAGAGGTTAAACCTAGTGCAGGAACCAATCATTGATGAGGGGATTATCAGTATTTAGTACAGTATTTAGGAGAGCAGATATTCAAACTGCAATTTAATATCATTTGGTTGTCATTCGTTTTGACTTTTCAAAGAATCAAGGATCATTTCTTGATATTCTGCCACACAGGGTTGCACAGCTAAATGCAGTTTTGGCCTTGTCCATATCTTCAATCAATCAATCAATCAATCAATGTTTATTTATATAGCCCAATATCACAAATGTTACATTTGTCTCAGTGTGGTCTTCACAGTGTGTACAGAATATCAGTATGACAATACGACACCCTCTGTCCTTAGACCCTCTGTCCTTAGACCCTCTGTTCTCAGACCCTCTGTCCTTAGACCCTCTGTTCTCAGACCCTCTGTCCTTAGACCCTCTGTCCTTAGACCCTCTGTCCTTAGACCCTCACATCGTACAAGGAAACACTTCCAGAGAAAACCCACAGTTTAAAGGGAACATGGGAGAAACCTCAGGGAGAGCAACAGAGGAGGGATCCCTCTCCCAGGACGGACAGACGTGCAATAGATGCCGTGTGTAAATCGAAGAGATAATACATTTACAACATATAGACCGAATGTTAGGAAATGCATGTGTCTGTAATAAGAAGATGAATCCACGAGGATATCAGCTACAATCCTGTGGGAGCCATCAGGGAAGTAGTGTGATGAGAGTCAGGCAGGACCGCAGAGACAGGTTCAGCCACGACTCGAAGTCCAGGACTCAGATCAGGACTCAGGATCCAGGACTCAGATCAGGACTCAGGACTCAGATCAGGACTCAGATCAGGACTCAGATCAGGACTCAGGACTCAGATCAGGACTCAGGATCCAGGACTCAGATCAGGACTCAGGACTCAGGACTCAGATCAGGACTCAGGACTCAGGACTCAGATCAGGACTCAGATCAGGACTCAGATCAGGACTCAGATCAGGACTCAGGACTCAGGACTCAGATCAGGACTCAGGACTCAGGACTCAGATCAGGACTCAGGATCCCGGCGTAGATAGACACCAAAAAGAAATGTGGGGGAAGCTGGGTTATTGGGAACACGAGAGAACACAGGTACAGACAGACAGAAGGAAGAAGCAAGATGTCCCCCGACAGT